CATAACAGCTCTATCGATTCCGACTGTGTTTTAGTGAGATTCTTGTTATTTTACAGGAATTCTTGATTTAAGCGACTTCGGAAAAACTATTTCTGAATATTAATGAAAAAGTGCATTACTTAAAGAATTTTAGCGAATAATGCCACAACATTATAAGTGTATATAAAAATATACCTGAACAAAAAAACCAGCAAATAATGTTTCATTTACAAAATTCCACGTTTTCTTTATCAAATGTGTGGATTTCTTTCTAATACGCCAATACATATGGAAGGGTTTGTTATTTTTTATTTGTAATTAAGCACAAAGCTACACAATGGGCTATCTATGCTCTGCCCACTACGGGTATCTAAACCCGGTTTCTAGCGTTGTAAGTCCGCAAACATGCCGCTGTGCAACTAGGGGGTTACATATGTAAGACATTAAGATTTAAAGGAACTTCAAAGATGAAATCTTAAAAATGAAATTGAATTTAAATGTATGTTTGTTTTCCTTTGGGGATGTGGAGCTTCCTGTCGTCAATAATTCAGTGTTGAGGTCCCCACCACCACTAAAGCGTTAGTCCCCCTCCCAAAGAAATATGGTTATTGAAATATTTTCTAATAAATTGCCTGTTTCTTTGTAATTAAGCACAAAGCCACACAATGGGCTGTCTATGCTCTGCCCATTATGGGTATCTAAATCCAGTTTCTAGTGTTGTAAGTCCGCAGACATACCGCTGTGCCAATGGGGGGGGGGGGCTTTCTAATAAAATTCGAGTTTTAGTTCCACCTTATCGTGGACAAATTATAATAAATGTACTAGGAAACTTGACGGTTGTGGCTCAGTGGTTAACGAGCCGGGCAACGGATTGAAGGGTCTGGACTTCGAAACGTGATGTCACTGAATACGTTCCCTCCCCTCCGCTGAGGACGTATTGCGAATGCGGCAGTCAATCCTGTTATTTGGTGAAAATAGTCGCACAGGATTCTTTTAGCAGCAGGTAATACTTTCTGGCTAATCTCCTTTTGATCAAAGATGGCGACACTAAAATCCTCGTACATACATCCAGGCTGAAAAGTTCAACTTTGTTGGTTTGTCCTAGTGAAAGGGGGCCAAGTTCAAAGGTTAGCGTGGAAGATTGTGAATCCGAGGTTTGGTGGTTCGCGCCAACTTACAGCAATAAATAAAAATTTGCACTCTACACTTTGGAGCCGTGGATGCGTTATAAGAGTGACGGTTAAATCCCACTAGTAGCCCAAGATTTAGTGGTTGGTGGTATGAAACATCCTCCTTCACCACTATTCTATAACAGACGACTAATGCAGATAGCCCTCGAGTAATTCTTTGCGCGGTAAGTCTAAGGGCTTATAACGGTAAAATCTGGTTTCGATACCTGCGGGTAGTAAAGTACAGATACCTCATTGTGTAGTTTTGTACTTTGCGCTAAAATAAAAAAAAAATGAAGAGTAATTTCCGATTTGTTTTTAGTCGCGGCATAGCGGCTCATAGAACGACTTTTAGCTCACAGCTCCGTCATCTCTTGACCGATTTGAGATCATTAAGGTCAACCCTTTCGATTGATGTCATTGAACACGCCCAAGGTCTCATAGATTAATTTACTCTAATCCTGCTTAAAAGAATTTCAATTTAAGGGTAAGCTGGTACACAGAAATGCTTTATTCTTCCTGAATGATAAGACAAAGAATGAAATGAAGTTGTTACTACAAGAAACAAGAGGAAATCCTCAATCATTTGGAATTATTTTAGGCAGGACTAGAGTAAATTAGTGTGTGAGATTTTTTTTTTCCCCTGTTTACTAGCTTTATTTTTGTACGCCAACAACACCAAGTGTGGGACTCGCGTATACCCGAATCAATTTTATTACTCATCAGGATCTCTCCGAAATAAACGAGGTTTATGTGATAAACAATACACAGTAAGAGTCTTTTTATTACTACAGTAAATGCAGTAATCACGTTTATCATAAACATTGTTTGACGTGGAAAAGTTTTGCCTCATGCCTTTCTTAAACTTTCCAAGTTCCTTGGTATTTCTGTGTGCGAAATAAACGAGGTTGATGTGATAAACAATACACAGTAAGAGTCTTTTTATTACTACAGTAAATGCAGTAATCACGTTTATCATAAACATTGTTTGACGTGGAAAAGTTTTGCC